GCATGCAAAAATTTAAGTAGCTAGAGGCCATTGCCTTATTTATGCCAACATAAACCTCTTGATGCAGCCAGGTTTCTCTAAGACAACATAAATCTATTTGATTATCGCAGATCAAATCATTGACTAACACACCCTTTTAAGAAAGAAATCTTACATTTTTCCCTTTTTTCTAAACTGGAGTCACTTTAATTTTAATTAGGTTATCAAGATTTACTCCTTTATGATTTTTTTTCTGATTTATACGATTTTGACCATGGGCTAGACACTGTCAGGTGGGGTAATGGCTGGGAAACAGCAGAGAATGAAAATATGTTTATAAAAAGTTATAGTATTTTGCTCTAGAGGATGTGTTTTTGAAAATCACTTCACAGGAAGCTTATTTAGTTGAGATTATAGGTGCCTTTTAAGCACCATCATATCAGGATATGTTTTCAGCCTGATTATAAGTGTAAAACTGCTAAACAACATTTCAGGTATTATTTATATGTCTTAGACTTGAGTGTAAGGTATCATACAGTATATCAGATAGATATTATTACACAGAGAAGGAAAGCAAACAAAGTGTTGTTTAGAGTGATAAGACCTGTTGTCAATCTCTTGTCAGCAAGGTCAGTCTTTGCTTGAACTGGGTCAGTTTTGATTAAAAATAGCTCCGGTAAGGCACTGGGGAGGTCTCCATCTCTGTCTTCTTCTGTCAGTCCTTGGTTGTGTGAATACCACAGGAAATTGTTTAGATGCCTTTGACTTCTTTAACAATCTTTGTTTCAGTTTAGTCTCAGATCAATTCAAATAAAATTGTGTTGTTGTTTACTGATTCCTACTGTATCAAAGTTAGTTAAAGCCAAGGCTTATTAAAGACATCCATAAGATCTTGTTTTTGATAAAAGAAGAAAAAAGCAAAATCCTTAACCTTTAGAGGCTTTTATCTCAGTGTCAGTCATCAATAGCTAAATTGTAGGTAAATTCATATTTTTTATACACTTTTTGTGTTAATCTTTGTTTTTTTGGAAAAGAGAAATTGCTTAATTTTCACTTTATTTTGAATGGATGCTTAGTAATGACGGGGGCGCTGGTTTACACTTCCTAAATGATGACCTTTCAGCTAATATAATTGCATTTCTGTTCCTTTTTTGTAATCAAACATTACGTTCAATCAGTCATGTTATTTCAAGTTTTATTTATTTTGAACTAGTCTTTATATAGCAAGCTTGTATGTAAGTATTTGGCAACAATTATTTCACCATACACTAGCCACATTGGTTTGTATTTTCTTCCACAAATTCTTCTGGATTCTGTAAAACTGAGGCCCTAAGCTTCAGGTTACACAGTAATCCACTTGTGAAGCATATTAGGATGTTCCAGGAAATACAATTATTATGATGATGTTAATTTTGTTTGTTATTTTATCAAAAATCTAGAGCGTTTTAGTGTAATTTAAACTAAAAAGGAATAAACAGCTGCAGGAAATGTGTATCTTGTAATTGCTCTCATCATCTATCATTTTGCTCCACCTCTGCTGCATCATATATCTCTGCAACAAACCTGCTGTATAACACCCAGAGCAGTGATAACCTGTACATCAGTGTGACCTAATAGGTCACTGGGTGTTACATACGTTTCTACTTAAAGATATGTACACAGAAACTGTAGAAGTCAGTTATCAACAATTAGGTTTGAATATAAATAGCATTGTATCTCTTTTTAGGTAGAACTTTGAGAGTAACACCGCTCTTAAATTTGTTGCTTTCTTTGGCAGCTGAGCGTTGCAACGTCAGGACAGCTGCCACTGGATGGATGTTTCACAGAGGGGGTGAATTTCCTCAATGATGCACAAGTTGCAGCAGCAGACCACCCACTAATAATCTGGAGAAATTCACAAAATGAGCTTATGCTGTATCATAACTGGCTCCAGAGATTTCATCAAAAAACAAAAAAAAACCAATAGCTTTAACATTGGGGTTGTTTTTCTATGAATTGATGAGTTTATGTAGGGATAGAAATACAATTATAGCATAGCACTGATGTGCTAGGACTCGACACAAGATAGAATAAATGCCAACTGTATCTTATAGTGAACAATGTTATCCTTGAGTAGCAGTTATGTAATATTCAAAAGACAAGTGACTTTAAAAATGGTTAATGTTCCCCTTGCTTAGACTGTTGGGGAGAAATCAAAGCACTGGAAGAAAAATATATATTTTTCTGTTTATCAAATGAAGCTGAAGTTGGTTTGGAAGACTCTTGTTAGCTTGACCTGGATCAACTGCAATGTCCCTCGCTCAACGTTTCACCAATCAACCAATCAGCTTTCAAGATCTCCTTCATTTAGCCTCCCTCCAGCATGCCAGCAAACCTCAACCACCTACACCCTATCTCCTCTTTTTAGGGTTTAGTGCCTCAGTTTTCCAGGGGGGGAGTAGTCTAAGCCATTGTCCAGGTTACTCATCTAGCCATCTAGGTGAATGTTAATTCACAGCATCATAGTCTTTTGCCAGGGTCCAAGTGCCAAATACCTTATTTAATTTGTGTCAATAAAACTTATATATTTCAAGCTTTTTGCTGTATGAGTCTCTCCAGGTTGAAATGCACATAAAACTGAAAACACAAAAGCCAGTTTTACTGGGAACCAGCACAAAAACTCTGTTCTTCATCAAAGCTTAAACAGTAGCGGCTCCTCAGCAAAGCGAACCCGTTCCCGTGAACCCCACCTCCTCCAGGCCTTTCTCCAAGGCTGGGCCCAGAGCCAGGATCATCATACTGTTGTTCAAATGTGGTAATTCTGTTGTTCTTTTAAAGGCAGAGGTCTATACTGTAGCTTGTGGTTTTGATACCATCTCATGGCAACATGTAAATACTCAGTTCAGTTAACATTTATCAGAACTGTAAATTTGAAGCATTAGTATTTCGATCAGCTGTTTGTCAGAAAGGCGTTTTCTGTCAAATTCACCAAGTAACTGACTGCATTTCTGGGTCTTTGGGGTTTTACAGTATACAAATAGTGCTTCTATTTACATCTGACATGTCTTATGAGGAAATGTGCAGATCCTTTATCTGAAAAATATAAATATAAACCAAAGCTTATTCTTTCCAATCACCTGAAACCTAAATTGTTTGTTTTCTTCTTTGTCTTTATTTTGGTCTATTTTGGGTTAATCTGTCTTCATCTCACCTTCCTTTTCTATTCACTGCTAACCTCTTTTATTTCATAAGTAAACCTTCTCTTTGGTCTTCTTTTTTATCCCTGGGATCTTAACATCCTGTAATTTCACACAAGCTTGCTATTTATAAATTTTTTTTGTGAGCCGCCTTGTATGTTTAAAAATCAGTATAAGCGATGAAAACCTGATCAGTGCAGCGTCACATTACAAACATTCTAAACAGAACATTCCTCAAATTATGGGCATTAGCAAGGTAGTGGGGATTAGAAAGTATAGGCATATTAAAATGTTTTGAATGCTGTGATCTAATCATGACAATTTATCCTATAATGTATTCTGACATTAGATTGCAGCTTTTTCCACTATAACTTTTTATAAACATATTTTCATTTGATCAGTAGTGTGATGTAAACCTTTCCTCACAGAGGAAATCTTTCTAATTAATGGAATTGAGTAATAGCTTTAGCATGGGGCTGGATATGTTTAAGTCAGTAGAGTAAGCAGAATTAGATGTCATTATAATAGAGCTAAATCTGGTGATACTTGATCTTAACCATTACTGTACATAAATAGTACGGCAACAGAGTCCTAAGAAGCAAAGCACCACAGAGCTAAATGTGGGTTGTAGACAGAGATGGGAAGTAACGAAGTACAAATACTTCGTTACTGTACTCAAGTAGATTTTTCTGATATTTTTACTTTACTTTACTACTTATTTTTATGGCGACTTTTTACTTCTACTTACATTTTTACACAAATATCTGTACTTTCTACTCCTTACATTTTAAAAAATTGTCTCGTTACTTTAGTTTTGAATCATTTCAATGGAGTTACCGTTATTATTTTTCACGTCATCAATACCAAATTCAATCTAACTGGATGGGAATCTACGTTGCATTTGACGCACCACTACAAGATGAATCGACAGATTCTGCGGTATTCATTGGCGGCAAATCATTGCAGCTTGGTGGCGGTGGCGTTAGCATAGTAGTATGGACGACGAGATGATTGAAAATGAACACAACGGAGATCTAGTCCTATTGGCAGACATCCATTTAAAATGTAGGCAACGGCATGAAAAAAGTGGTTTCTACTTTTACTTTTATACTTTAAGTAAATTTACAAGCTTGTACTTTGTTACTTTTACTTGATTAAAGAAGTTTAATCAGTACTTCCACTTTTACCAGAGTATTTTTTAACACAAGTATCTGTACTTTTACTCAAGTACGGAAAGTGAGTACTTTTGCCATCTCTGGTTGTAGATAAAAAGATAAACAGATAAAAAATATATATTTGAAGTTGTGACATATACTGTCGCATTAGTAAAGGTGTCCAATAGATGCATTCAGATGATCGTAAACTGGGCATGGGCAAAAAGTATGTGAAAGAAAAAAAATGCAAAACATGAAATTATGATTCCATGCCTCAGAGTCAGCTTACACATCTAATGTGTGAAGGATTAGGGGGATGCAAGCACATGCTGATAGTTCCAAGGTTACAAAAGGCAGCAGAGGTGACCTGATTTAAGCTTTTCTCTTCAGTTTATTGCCTTTATTTGTGGCTCTAATCTTATATCCTAAGTATTTCTCCACTTTCAAATATACAGTAATACTGATGGCAGGCCCTCCCCACTGTTTCTGCTGCAACACTAGCATAGTCCCCATTTTAACTCCCCATAATTATCCCAGGATGATAGCAGCCACCATGCCGTAAATGGATTTCATGTCCGGCCCATCATGGCCTTTAGCAACATTAATGCATCATTATATTCTGCTGTGATTATAGCACACCTCGGATATGCGTTTAGTCCCTAATGGCTGACCTTCCCTTTTTTTATCTCAGGCTTTGCGGTGAATCTCCAGGTGATCCTTTCCAACCCGCGGGCGCTGTTCAAGAGGCGGGGGTCTCAGCCCGGGATGCAGGAATCTGACTTCCTGAAGCAGATCACCAAGGTTTCTGAGCTGGAGCCCAAGGCCAACAACTGCACACGGGTCAGTAACCTTTGCAGCAACAGCAATAGACTTTAAAAGCACTTTTAAATGTATTATTGTGCTGTAGAACAGGAATACTCACTTACATTTTGCCTAAAAGTGAAAAATATTTCAGACATATGTTGTCACTTAGTTTAGAAAACTTTTTTCCAGATCACAATAAGCAGAGTAAGAACACATAGTTACCTAAATTGTATTAATTTGGGGACAATCTTTAAGCTATACCACACAAAAATCACTGAGTAATAATATGAAAAAACGTTTTTGTCATGTCCTGCTATCCTTACAGGGACTTTCCATTGACTTCCATTTATGTTGCATTATTTTTTATGGCCTAACCTATCCTTTACTCACTACCTAACCCTGAACCACAGCTGTCAAACGTATTGTATAGTAATGTTTATTACTCAAGTAGAAGTATAAATCCTACCGTCTAAAATCACTTTTGTAGAAGTTAGAGTAACCTTAAGTAAAAACTTAAGGTTTTTACTTAAGTAAAATTGTAAAATTAAATTTTTTTAAACTACTTAAACTATAAAAGTAAAAGTAATGGATCAAAAAATGTTAAGGACAGAGGCTTTAAACCATACAATGGTTACACTGTATTAACAACATTTTTCTACAATTCTGGTTTATAACTTCTTTATAGTTCATTTTCTAAGTTTTATAATTAATAGTAACATTGTCAAATTTATATTTGCATCATCTTGAACAATTACTTATTTTGGTGCAGTACCAATTAAGCCAAAAAGAAATACATTTTCAGGATAAAACTGAGTATTTTGATGGATTTAATCTTTTTTTTTTTTTTAGATACTAACAGGCCATAACAAAAATGAGCTTAAATGAAACAAAACTAGAGTATATTTTTAAAATGTAAGGAATAAAAAGTAGAGATAATTGCAAAAAAATATAAGGAGTATAAGTAAAAGTTGTCTAAAATATAATTACTCCAGTAAAGTATATAGCTAGCCAAAAATTCTACTTAAGTAAGGTAACAAAGTATTTGCACTTTTTTACTTGACACCTCTGAACTTATCCTAAACTAAACAACTTACTACAAAATTCCCAACCCAAGAACATTAGATTAGCAGTAGAATGTGAAGCGGGATTTTTTTGCTGAGGGCCTTCAACCCTTTATTGCATTAACACTGTCTATTTATGGAACAGACCTTTGTGAGATGAATGGTTTACATGTTTAATTAGAGCTGATTTTTGCACCAAAATACAATAAAAACAGTCTGCTTTGTGGTGCATATTTGTTTATCACATAAAGCTTTTCTGGTAAATGAGTCTCTATACAGTCATCTTTAAACAACATGTAAACAAACAGAATGCAGAAACAACACTTATGTCACCACTAACACCTTAGGTTTGACAATCCAGTGCATGCTTCTGTTGGCATGTTTGAAAGTGTAGTCATAATTATTGCAGCAGTAACCAACCAAGGGGTAACTCTCCCCACTATTGACAGCATGAGTCATGATACGAGCTACTGGCACAGTCTAAACATAGACCCACACAGGCTGCATTGGACAGAAATGGCGCTGTGGCTTCATCGATTCTTGTTGTGCGCTCAGACAGCTTGGATCGATGCAGTTCATCTGAAGTCACCACAGGCCCTTTTGGCACTTGGCTTTATAAGGCCACTCATCCTCTTGACAGCCATCACAGAGCAGACTTAGAGGACTGTTTGTGAGAAATGGATCCCATTATGGTTTTTCCTTTCAAGCAACAAATGAGCCATATGTGATGGCTGCCTGCTGCTGCTCCAAACGCGTGCTGAATCTGGCAGATTAATGAAAATGCTTGATTTTTCAGAATATTTTCTCGCTTATTCAATGTCTTACTATATATCCATAATAATGGATATCATTTTTACACAACTTTACCCCTTTAAAGGGAAATAAAAAATATGTATGGGTTTATTTTGCTGTTGAATAGTTATCCTCAAGCCCAAATACATCAACTGTGATTGATCACACCTCTCTAAATGTGGGCTTGGGTGGTTCTGATTTATAGAAAAACATCTCTGAATGCTGGTAACATGGTGTGTGGGTTTGTTTTTTTCACTTACCATCAAGTCAAAGTCGATTCTTAAGCTACTTTTCATTATTTATGAGATTTACTTGATGTTTCTTTCTTCTTTTGCTTTGTTACTTATCTTTGGCTTCAATATTCCAGCTATCATAAAGCCAATATTACAATAAATAGTTACATTCTATCAGAGCAAAGATACATTAATAATGCCAGCAAGCTTTGTTGCCATTTTGTTTTGTTTTTTTGTAGATGAGGCATAGTGATAAACATTAATGTAGAATCCAGCTTGTGGCAGAACAGTTAGAGATTCAAAAGAAACAAGCTCCCCTGGCTGCTGTTTGCTTTCAGTGGTTTGTTTGAAGTAACTAAAATTCAAATTTGTCAAGGCTTTTAGAGGCTCTCTGTGTTAAAAAAAAAAAAGGATTTCATTTATGATGGGGGAAAGAGTTTTCAAACCATTCTGGCCTGATTTAATAGACTAACAAATGAATAGTACCCATGTGACAACATGAAATGGGATAAAACAATGTATATAGACTGACGGAGAAATAAAGTTATTAACAGCACTAAATCTGAAAGGAGGACAAATACATTCATTAGATGTTGTCCACAGCTAGTAATCTAGAACCATCTCAGGATATCCAAGGGGGCATCAGCAGGTCATCCAGGAGGTCACATAGGAGCAGGGCTATGCATAGTAATACATGACAGGGCATCTTTATCCATACATATTGTGCTTCAGCATATTGTTTGTTATTGTTGAGGTTTGTTTTTTCCAAGGGATTGGAGTGACAGCTAAAAGCTGAAATTTAAAAAGAAAATTTGATTCAGAATTGTGCAGATAATAGTGTCACTTTGTGGAAAATAGTTGTGAAAATACTTATGATAAAGCAATATTGGCCATAAAATATCCTGTTTTATTGTTGTTTATGTGTTTAGGGTATTTTTTGTGTATTTGAATTAGTCTGTACTAATTTTTTGATCTAAAAAGCTAAATTTTCTTTTAATGTGAATGGGGCAGATATATATGTTTTTTATTTTTTGTTCTTTTTATTTCTGATTTATTTTTAACTATTGATCATTGAGTTGACAAATTAAATGAAGTCACCGTTTCCAACTCCAAAAAAAAAATGGATTGCACTTTGCCAGATGTCCGTTTCATGAAGCAGGTTTAACAACCATTATTTCAAATGCTTAATTCCAAATTGTTCTAGCCTAAAGTCAGGAGCTCTGAGTTTCAGGTTTCACAATGGCTGCTATGAATTAGTTCAATCACCTCCAGGTAGAATTACTCAGAGTTTAACACGTGTGAAACAAGTATGAAAAGCTATTATCAGTGGAGCCCCAATTCGATGAGTCACCATGACAACATGCAACCAGAAGTGCCTTTTCTATACCACTGGAAGTAGAGATTCTAATAAAGAAATTTAAAGAAAAAATTAGAATGTGTTTAAAAGACAGAGAAAGAGAGCTACAGCTGCAAAGGAGAGGAAGATGGCGCTGGAGAATAGACACTCGAGTTAATGCGTAGGTTTATATGAAGTGTTTTTACCTTTATTAAAAGCACTCTCCTCTCTGTTGTTCCATTTGTAGATCACTAAAATAAGATTCTTACCACACTTCCAGACTGAACGGTAATAATATATTTTCTAAATTACATTTTTGCAGAAGAAACTAAATTTCGGAAAAGTAAAAAAAATAATAATAGTAAGTATTAAGTTTTATCTATCTAGCAATGTTTATACCTGATAAGTGTCCGTTTTGACATTTATCAGCTTGACTGAAGATGTATTCATGGTTTTTGAAATACAGTTCTTCATAGTCAAAATAATACAAATGCTGACCAGTAATTAAAGGAGTATAGAGACTTCCAGAATGTTTATTCGTCAAACCGAAATGCAATGTTTGTTAAAAAAAAAAAAAAAAAGTTTGTCTAAGGACCTACTAAATTATTACTGTAAATTATTTTTAATGCACCAAACTATGACAGAAATCTCTGGAAAAAAACAACATGATTGGCTGTAAGGAAAGCAGAAACAGAGGACACTTAGAGTTTACAGAAGAAAACCTGCTACCGACCAGGTTAGATCTGGGGAGGTGGAGGAAATTCTCTTTGTGAAATGTAAATCTCAGTTTCCTATATTCAGGTTTAGAAAACAGAGTAACAGAGTTTCAGTAAACCAGCTTTGTGAAACAGACCCCAGGCATCTACCCTAAAACCTGCCCAGCTTCTGTCTCCCAAATGAAGCAAACCACCTGCTAGTTCTTACGGTCACTGAGGCATGCTAACCCCCTGAATAAAATATGAATACAAGATGGAAAATTAAGATTTTCTTTATCCAAGATTGAACAACCAACACAAGTATTTTCTTATTGAACTGGCATCATGTATTGTAAATGAATTTGTGTCAGCATGGGTGGAGGTTGGTTGAGGACCCAAATGCAGAGATGCGGGAGGCAGGCAGAGACGAGTTCTTGCAGGTTTAATTAAATCATAAAGATAACAGAAACAAAATCCAAGAATCAAACCGAAAGGCCTGAGAGGTCAGGAGAAAACACACATGGGGAGCCAAGTAACAACAAGGAACCAACACTGAAGAACTGCACAGGGGGAGTATATATGGGAGACAGAACAAAGACTGGGGTAATCAGCTGATATGGAGCAAAGTCAAAGTCCCAAAGGGAGAACCATAAATATTTGAGCATAATAATTATAACAATAGGAAAGTTAAATCAATATTTAAAAAATCCCAAACTGTTTCTCAAACAGGATCAACAAACGGTATAGATACAGTAGAAAGGTTTGTTTTTTACTGCTATAATCAGATCTACATATCTGATCAGAGGAGATACATAAGGACGAAATAAAAGCAGAGACACACAAAGCTCTTTAAGAGCTGCTAATTCCTGAGAGTGGAAAGTGAGAAAATCTTGTTAGAAATATTTATAACAACAGCATA